TTTACAAATTCTTGCATCATAACTCTAGTTAAGAGAAGATATTTCTAACACCTTGGTAAAGCTTAATCTTCAGCATGCAGCTTATTTTCTAACCTAGTTTCAGGCTGAATTATTTGTAAAATTAATTGTTTGAAATTATTTGTTAACAAAGATGGTCGCTAAATCACGCTAATAATATTTCTAACTGTTGTAATTTATAATGCAACAAGTTCATGTGATTTATAATAGAATTAATTTATAATTTTTTCAGCAGTATTGATATTAATAGCATATATTGATAATGTTATACATTTGGATTACAATGATTTAGATTGCGAATGCCTTCTTCGCTGATGCTTTTATGCTACATTCCTAATATTTCATAATGGCATATAGATAAATTTAACTCATTCACCAAACATGTAAATCTCTAATTCAGCCCACTTTTGTTCTTACGTATGCTGCATCTTCTATTTTCTTTAATATATTGTTCAGCCTAATTTCAAAATGGTTTATGATCAAGGGGAAAAGTCACTAAACTTATATCGGGAGTTTCTAATCCCAGAAATCCCCCAGCTCTTTCTTTTTTTTCTTTTCTTTTTTTTTTTTTTTTTTTTTTTACTTATTTACTGTATAACAATATATCGTAAAAATTTCAGTTCATGAAGCAAAGAAATTTTTTTTTTAAATTTATTCTTTAAAAATATCGAAAAAATTTTCACCTTTACCTTAGCATATCATTTTACAAATCCCTTTAATTAGAAAAAATAAGGAAAGAAATTAACTCGGATTCAATGATTGATACATCGGTTCAAATTATATGCAACCTTTCCAAAAGCATAGTGTTTATATGGTACCAATAAATTAAGGATTATTTTTCCATCTAATTTTCTTAACATGTTTATTCCAGAATTTTCTTTTCACACTGTAACGCTTAACTTTATGAGTTTTGTATAATCATTCAACTTCTTTAGCTATAGTAACTTTGCATACCTTCTGACAAGTAGTTATATTTTTAACCACTGTATTTTAATTCCTGTTGACTATCAGTATATTTTTCACTTGTTTCACAAATGCAAATATTTTTTTTTGTACGCAAATCTATGTAAAATAGTAACAAAACTTCAGTTATGCGAAGTTCCTGATCGATTGCTTGTTTTAGATTGAATAAAATTAAGCTTAATGTTACTGTTAAATAGCTTGTTTCTAATTAATTATATGCTCAGATATTTCCAAGTATTCTACACAAACTTTTGCATCCCAGTTTTCCGTTTTGGGTTAAAAAATTAAGCTTTTAATTATTGAGAGGCCTTATTGATTATATTACTTTGCAGTACTGTTTATCTAATTCTTTTCTACTAGCTAAATTTTAGAAAAAACTTCTTAGCATAATAATTTAAATTTATTTACAATTTATACGTCAGTGTTTCGAACGCATAGTAATGTTGTTAGAATAGATTTCATGCTAAACTTTTCTTAAATTTAACTATTAATTTATGCAAACATTTACATGATTACTTTAATTAACTAAAAATATATCTAGCACACTTTGATTCGGAATAACCTTTTGTACGCCAATGAACTGTACTAAATTTTCCAGTCTAGTTCAGATATCTTGACTATTATTGATGCAATTTATATAAAATATAATTGGTATGCTTTATAATTATTTAATTTATGATATTATTATAATACTCTTTGCTGTAATATTGTAGTTAATGAAAGATGTTTGTAATGCTATTATGTATGTTTACCAATACCTTTTATTTTCTTTATTAGCTCTCCCAGTTATTACTGTTGTTCAAGTAATTAGCCTGCTTGTAAGATATTCTTTACTTGTTCTTCTGATTGTTGATATGTAATTCTATTTCTTTATTTTTATTTTCCTCTTGGCTACAATTGGCTTCCAAAAGTTAAATTGTATCCCTGATCCCTGTAGGCAAAGGGAAAAAAAATTTTGATTCGCGCAATTGGAGCCCACCCAATTAAATATCGTTTAATTTTTTTTCAAATGGGTCCTTTGTTTGCCTTCTCAACATAAATTACGCGAGATAACTTTCCAGATGATGACGTGCCGTTCCCCTGTTTCTTATTTTGCCATTTGGCACTACACCACAGTCTTTCTATTTTTTGTGAGTGCGTTCCAGTTTCAGGATCGACAAAATTGTATTTATGGTTCACTTTGAAATCTTCGAAACTTTCCTCTTCCAGTTTTTCAGTGCAATATGATTTCCATAAAGTGGAATATATTATAGTTCCTCTTTTGATTTTTCTTTAACTGCTTCTAATATAATACTCTTGGATCGGTTTTGCTCCTTCACATGGAAATATTCATTTGTTTCACGGCATGGTAAAATCCGTCTCGCATTTTTTGGGGGTTGGGATTCATGAACATGCTTTCATCCACTTAGACGATCATACCAGGTTCTCCTATTTTCCGTTGTTGACGTTTAAGCAAAGAATCCATACAAACCTCGCGCATGTATTTATTCCATTCCACAACTGTTCTGTGACTGATTTCCAATTCTTTTCACACCACATAACTGAAGTTTATTCTTTGCTCCAACCATAAATAAACCTCAGACACTTCAAGAAACTCAGTGTCGATGACTCAAACTTATGTGCCTTTCCATATGCTTCCTTTTACTGTTACAAGTTGAAAAGTTGCAGCGCCATTGAATTTCCTCTACGATTACAATTTCATTTCATAATTATTATCATAAATAGCAATTTTAGGCAAAACGCTTTTCGCTTGAAAGAATCTGACAGATTCTTTTTCTGTTCTGGGTAAATCCAAAATTTTTCTTAGTTTTTCATCCATTTTTGAAGTATTAGAAAAAAGACGTGAATTTACGAATTCATTATCCTTTCATGGTATAACATCCTGATTGAATGCAAGAGTTATTTCAATTCGTACGAATTGTTTATTCAGAAATTATGTAAAATCGTAGTGCTTTTTTTCGCTAATGCATTTTCATTAAACCCTTGACTTTTCCTTTTCCATATTTTCGCCTTCGGATGAGCAGTGTGATTGCACCCTAATTGACTTAATAACCGCGAATTGTGTTAGAGCATGAAATTGAACTATCTGATAAAATTTCTATATAATTGTTGCCAGTATTGAAAGAAACGATCAATATGATAATGTTTGTCGTCAGAATGGACCGTTTTCTCGACATTTTTCGGGCACTTGCCAATTTTTATAATCTATTTGACTTTATTCCTTATTATTGCTTATTATTACCCTTATTATCATTTCCCTTATACTTAGTTAAAAAAATTATTCGAAAATATTTTGATCCTATTAACCGAATTGTTGATTCAAGTAAGCTATGTATTTTCCCAATTTTTGTATACAAACAGGCAGAACTTCAGAGATTCGATAATAGCGTCTGAATGACATATATTAACCGTGATCACACTAAGCGGAGTCTACTGTATTATTCAGTTCGCCCGCAGGAAGCATTTTACTTGAGTTTAACTTATAATATCTCCAATGTGATCTGCATAAACCCTTCGGCGTTCCCGTCAAAAATAGTCAGTTAAAAAGTTTTTATTTGCTTGTCACACTATTATATTAATAATTAATCTAGGCAACAGCATTTTTGCTGAATTAAAAAAAAAATGTTTAAAATACGGTGGTTACATTAAAATACTATTAGGACTACATGTCTTGATTTATTTTTGACGATAGTGTAGAAAACTTCTTCTCACCGTTCAGGCAGCGTTCAACATCGCAAACTGTGGACTGTCATTTTATACAATGTGTTCAGCTTTAGAACTACATGAACCACGTCGTAAGGAGGTTCTACATATTGTTATATGTGCTGTTTCTTGTTGGCGAATCTCATGGTTTGTATTTTCAGGCACATAAGTTGATGTATTCCAGTTTTTGATTACCTTTGTCACCTTTTGCAGGCAGTGCCATTAATTCTCTCACTACAGAAATTCGAAAATATTTCAGTCCTAAGCATACACCGTCACTCCTCATAGAGTAAATAGGTGTTTCTACATCTTGACACTCGAGAATAAAATACAATCTTCATCGTCGTAGAGAACAAGATGCGAATTGATAACTGTCATGTCAGCAAAATGTCAAAACTATGGGAAGCCCTGAATGTTAAAAAAATTACTTAACAGGAATTCCACAAGTGATATTGAAATTTATTTCACAAAATAGTTGGAAAACAAGGTTATAGCACTCTGCAAGTGGCATAACAGCAAGCAAATGCTGATATTGATGAAATGCTTCATATTATTCTGAAATTTCCACTACGCGCAAAGAATGGCATCCAATGCTAACTATTTATACATGTAAATGCGCAAAAAAACTACCAAATTACATTCTATTGAATTTTGAATAGGTATTGTTAGTGTTCGACCACTATCAGCGAAAGGTTTAAAACGAAGATAATAATTCAGAATCTGAGTTACAAAAGGGCTCTTATTGGATATTATTCGGAAAACATCCTTGACGGCTAGTTGAAGCCGAATGAGGCAGCAACAGCTGTCCTCCGAACTGTACTCGATAATTTCAATTAATTATTTCCGCAACTTACATAGAGAACATTTTATTGAGCAGCTTTTAAACTGTATTGCACTTTAGTAAATTTCAGTTTTTTTAAATTTAAACTTAAGCATAATATTTTATCTTCATTTCAATTCTTGTTCAGTGAAATTAAAAACAATATGTAATTTCGTTCGACTAGTTAATATTTGATGTTGTTTTCAAACTAGTGATAACAGAATTTTTATTAGGAAATTATTGAAATGGGCTGTTTTAAACAATTCTTCATTGTTTTAATACCACTGCTATCTTTCTTATTTGTTTTGTAGTAAATTTGTTTCATTTAATTGTCGCAAATGCATTAAGCAAGTTATGTAATTAATTTCTTTTACTAATATTTTAAGCTAGACAATCTTTGCTCAAAGATATGATATGAGGCAGAAGTGTTTTGTATGAAGTTCAGTGAGTCGTTTAATCAAAGAACGTAATCGGCCATTCGGCGATAAACTTTCAAGCTGTGTGAGGTGTGTGCGTGTGCTGTCTGTGGCCTAGATAGGAATGTTAATGTGTATAAATTATTTTACATATTTGTTGTGATTACCATTTTTATACGCATTTTATGCGATATGCTAACATAACTTATGAAGCAAGTATTTGAACTTTTTAATTAACGTGACGTATGCTCTGCATTTTGTTGTGTACTTGTTTAAAGGGTCCGAAGTCTGGCCCAGTTTTCGTATGGTAACAATTCACTAAACACTGTCCAGTCTTTGTTCGCATTTTAAATTATTAAGAATGCCAAGAGGAACAAGTGAGCATTTAAAATTCTACGAGCTGTGTTGCCTGTTTTGTTGTCCTCCATGTCCAACACATATTGCTGCAAAATTAGCTTTCGTACCTCCGGAACCTACATATTCATTAAGACCGGATGAATCTGGATCTAATTATTCTCTTTATCTAAACAGTCGTGCCGAGTGGCAGTTTAGTGATGACGAGCTCAAGCTTATGGAAGTGTTTTACACTAGGACTTCTAAAGGCAACCAGATTGCATGTATGTTTGCAAAATGTTCACCAATCGCAAAACATACTATACTCTTTAGCCACGGGAATGCCGTCGATTTAGGCCACATGAGCAGCTTCTATGTTGGCCTAGGATCCCGTATTAACTGCAATATTTTCAGTTACGATTATTCTGGATATGGACAGAGTGAGGGTAAGCCATCGGAAAAAAATTTGTATGCTGATGTGGATGCAGCCTGGCATGCATTACAAACACGTTACGGTATAAGACCAGAAAATATAGTTTTGTATGGGCAAAGTATCGGTACTGTACCAACGATTGACCTGGCATCTAAGTACGAAGTTGGGGGTGTTATTCTTCATTCTCCTTTAACATCAGGAATGAGGGTTGCCTTTCCAAATACTAAACGTACCTGGTTTTTTGATTCCTTTCCTAGGTAAGATTGCAAATGCTTAAAATTTACGTTATCGTTTCCTCAGTGTGCATTCAGTATCAAATAATGAATATGGTAGTTTGAGAATTTTGTCATATTCTTATATTGAAAATATCCAATATGTTATGCATCTAATATATTATACTGATAATGAAGTAAATTCAAAATCATCTGACATTTAGTTTTTACGTACAACAGTTGTTCCATGACATCTATTAAACTAATTTGCATAGATTAACTATGAAATATTAGTATATACATATTAGTTGTGGTATGGTTGGTTCTCTTAGAATTATTCCAGTTGTTAAATTTAATGTGAATAATTAATATTTGATCTTATTCTATGAATTTTTCAAAAGGTAGTTATGTTTAAATTTCAGTCATATTTAGGCAGGGCTAGTTTTGGAGCCCATCAACACCTGCAGTCATGGAGCCGTTGTAATGCGTAAATATATATAAAAACAGGGTAAACTTCTCACTGAAACAATATTTTTATACTTAAATTTTTGAAATCTTATATGTACTAAATTGAAATAATAGGATTACTGATAATAAATTATGAGACATTCTGATCATGCCTTAATATAATTTTAAATTGGTATTCACTCGAGGGTCCTGAAATTCCTTAAAATTGTCCTGTAGTTAGGTCTATGTGATAAAATCATTGTACAAATCAGTATTTTGTGAAATGAGTAAATGTCTTAAGTTTACAGTTATAAATGCAATTTTCATCAATTTTTAGACTTTTGATTGACATGCATATTAAAAATTAATTATATTTTGAATTGTGAAGCCTTTAATTTTAAATTATAGGTATATATTATTTGACATATGTATTATTCATAGTTTATGTTCCAAATCGTGATGCTCTTAGAAAGTGTGAACTAATGTTGATTTCTGGAATTGATATATTTTCCATTCCATGACATAAATTTTTCTAGCAAAAGTTGTTGAATACAAAAGTTGTTGTTTATAGAAACTTCATTATTTGTTCAGAAAGCACAGGACTCTAGTCCAGGCACCCATTGAAACGAACGTGTCGTTCACGGATGATAAATGCAACTGAGAAGCATGTGGATAGTTGAAACACACTTTAGAAAATTTGGTTAGTTGAACCTTTTGCCTAAACATTCACATGATTGTAAAAATATCAGTCCTACACCTTGACCGAAAATGTCCAGAATTATATCAGAAGACTCTTCATATGTGGTGGCCTGCATTGTATGTAGGTGTATTTCTCTATTCTAAAAATATTATAAATCTGCGATTTCATAATGGTGGCCTTTGGCTACAGGCAACCCGTGAAGGAATTTTACACAGCCTATGAAAACATTTCCTTAAATAAATTTACATTGTTATGACAATTTAAAGACAAATTCAAGTCCAGTTTTGCATTACTCTCATTAACATTGAATACAAACGATAGTAACACACAGAAAATCTACTAATAGGACCAATTAATTTACAGTGGAAATAATGCCTTACAGTGGATATACAGTACAAAGTCTTTAATCCGGACTCGTCGGGACTTCTGCGATTCCGGATTAGGGTTTTTTACGGATTATAGATCATCAATTTAAATCTGGTAAAATGGCATGCAGAAATCATAAAATTAAAAATACGAAACCGTAATTTAGGAAATAAAGAGTAATTATGATCTAAAGGGTATCAAAATTTACAAAAAAAAGCTTAATATTTATTTGTTTACTTTATTAAACATTTCTTTCAATGTAAGTTGTTTAAGTTGCTTCGTTTTATGTGCTAATACGTTCTCTTTAATTCTATAAACAGACATAATTTCTTGTTCAGTTACAAAGTTCCGCTGTTCAAGTCCTGTAATTGCTGTGCCGAGAATACTGACTAACTTGTCAATAAAATTTTTTTCGTTTTCACTAACCTCTCTGTCACTTCATGCCTTTATCCATTTTTTGCAGCAATTCCACTTTTTGTTTGGTGGATATCGAAACATGGTTTTGCTTTGTAGATCCTTTGGCAGCTTCAGAATCGGAAATTCTTTTTGACGTAATCGAAAGTTCAAGCTTACTTTTTATAAAATTGCTCTAACAGTCTGCAAAAAATAATAAGCCAGATCCAATTAGAAGATTAAAGAACAACGTAATCTGCAACATTAACTGAAATAGATAATTAGATAATTTTAGCCTAGCTTATACCGTCCGTTATACATTAAATGCACATACGTAAACATATTATGCACATGCGTAAAGGTATTGTGTGCATATGTAAATGCAGAAAGTTTGTAGCTTTGAGGTCCGGAAGGAAATAAGAACTCGTTCTAGAGGACCATCGTAGGCTTGGTAAAGGAAGCGACAAATCTGTTGGTTGCTTTTTGCAGTGATTGGTACGCTGGGGTTCTCACTGATCACCACTACTAGGCTGATTGTGGGAATTTAGATCCTCTTACGAGAGTACCTCTGACAGCCATGATCCTGTCTAAACTCTGGATTTTAATTCTGAGACATTGCTGCTGATATTTTTTTGAATGCCAGAAGTGCCAGGTGAATATGGAATTGATGGTTCTATGAGGTCCATATTGAATTCCAAGCTGGATTTCAGCAACACTGGTCCACTAAATGTCCAAAAGGACTGCAAGATCATACAGCCGTGTCACATACCTTGATGCAGGAACTTGGCTCATGTGTAGGACGGCAAATGTCCTTACGGACACTGTGATGACATCCGCAGCACCATGGATTGCTGTCAGTATGGTGACCATTGTGGCAGCTTCACTTGATGTTGTAACAGAGGTAGCCCTACAGTAGTAAGACTAGTGATGACACTGGACACGGGAGTGGTGCTACATTGTCTTTTCACAAATCCCAGTTCTGCATATATCATCTTGATGAACATATATAAAGGCACTGAGATGAAAAGAGTGAACAGAGTTTGCGTCATGTGGGCCCAGCATCTGATCTGCTTTTATGGGGTGACATTTGTTACACTCTTGATTGCATAGTGATAATGTGGATTGCCACACTTATGTTTTTGATGTTTTAAGGCTTGTGACTGTATCCTATCTTCGAGGTGTGTTAATATCCATTTTGTTTTTATAATAGGGAAAAAAGGATTATAAGGAAATTTAAGATAATTTTGGGGCTTTTTAATATTTATGATTCTATTCCCATATTATTTTACTTTGAATTTTCATGATATATAGGGTGTTTCAGCAAATTGGTTACGCACTTTAAAGAAAGGCAGAGTGCCTAGACGATGCAAAAACACATAAGAATGCATGGTCAGAAATGCTTTCCTGGGAGAGTTAGTGCAGCAGAAACCACGAAATAAGAACAAAAACAAACGATCGTCATCAAAGAAGGTGTTTGAAATTACGATCCAGTGATGTAGGAATCGTGCATCTTGTAACTTCCATGCGAGATGCGGATTTTCCAAGCACTGAAGATGTGAGGCTTGTATCACGGCCTGGGTTCATAGTTTCAGACACCTTCTTTAATGATGATCGTTGTCTGTTTTAATTCTTATTTGTTGGTTTCTGTTTTACTAAATGTAATAAAACATGTCTTGTCACATTGTTGGTGTCCTTCTTTTTTTTTTTTTTTTGTTTTTTGTCGTTACTACTGTGCCATGAAAGCGTTTCTGACCATACACTGCTATGTGATTTTCCATCATCTAGGTGTACTCAATCTCTCCTGAAAGTTTGTTACTGATTTGCTGAAACACCGTATCACCTCATACCTTAACAACCATGAGGTGGGTTCGTCGATTTCTCATATACTCGTCGTAGTAGGAAAATAATCATCTTCTGTACTGAAATTTTATCCAGTAATTTATTACGCATAATGGTACACAATACACAATAAAACGAATACACTATTATCCATTCAGAAACCTATTTACAATATAAAGTGCACAAAACATGTTTAAGTTATCTCTTTCCACACAGCATGGCTGACGGTCCAACCGCCAAAAGTTCCAAGTCCCGTATTCACCCCACCAGCCTGCCTCAACCGGTTTTTCTGGGGTAGCTACGTCACTTTCCTTAACAGTCTTTCACCATCGCGGATAAAAAGTTCTGGTAAAGTCTTTCGCCAGGGGAAGGAATTTTGCATACCGTGTATATTCATTTTGTTAATTCATGCTGTTCGTATTGTGTCTAATCTGCATACATAAAGGAATAAGCTGTTTCTTTATAATCAGAATTAAGCTTAGGTTGTACAATTTTAAGAATAAGCAGTCAGAAAAGTTTTGCTACTTTTCTGTTAATGGGATGCCACTTAAGGCCAGTCGTAAACATGGCCAGAAAATCTAAGCAGGATCAGAAGTAATCTCCGAGTATATCAGGTGATTTGTATTCATAGCCAAAGGGAAATATTTTGTGGGTCAACTCCTCAGACCGCCCCTTCTTAGTGTATTGCTTCTCAAAATTTGGGCTCAAATTTAAGCTAGGTTTGATAGGTTCAGCAATAACCCAGTCACCTGTGATAGTACAGAGATGTCGGCGTAGCTTTTATCTGTTCTTATAGATAGCCACCCAGCTATTTTTAGTGATTAGTGACGTTGTTTGGTGCACCGATGATGACGATGTTTGGTCACTCAAAATTCAGTGCTTAAATTGCACCGGAGCCAGGCTCCCATACTTGTCAGATTTTAAGATAAATTACAATTGTAGCCGGAGCATACTGGAGCCCTAAATATGATGAGCTTCATTACTTCTTTTTAAAAAACTAAACCACAATAAAAAGAAAAATCTTTAGAATTCGCAACGTTTTATTTTAACAATAAGACATTGAAATATTTTGTTTCCCTAAGATACAAACTCATGAGAACATAAGACATTCAGGATAAGTTCCCTCACTCACATGTGGAAATCTCCGTTTAAGAAGCACAATAAATTTACGAGAGCTTGTTTAGAAACGCATAAATTTCTTGTTATGCCATCGTATCGAGTGTTTTGTTATCGATGGTTACATTTAGTTATCCTCACAGGAAGGGAAATTTATGTTCTTAACTGTATGTTAAGTGACAGCGAGCATAATAGAGTGAAATGCTGAGATTAACTGCTCAAGCACATTCTATTCTATTGTGTTCCCACAGTATCCACTAATGGGGCTGTAACCAAACATGGGGGGTGGAAAGTGTCACCAGTAACTTTACATTCGTTCTTAGGAGTCAGATCTAGGAAAGGTTCCACCTAAATGAACGAGAACTAGCACAATAGAAATTAATTCTGCATTACAGAAACTTTTGTATTTAATAAACTGTATACCTGTTTCTAGTACTGAGTGCGAAAGAGAATTTTCCACAATGAACTTAATTTGCAAGCTGTGACACACATCTCTTTATGTTAAAACTCTTTCTATTTTAATGTTCATTAGACTTGTCAGCTCTTCACTCAAAAACTTTCAGCCAGTAACTTATGTACACGTTTGTTAATTTGCAACAAGTCATCATAGTGCAGTGAGCAGTCGGTCAAAACAGAGAAAAGAACAAATAAAAGATCGGGATTTGACTGCATTGTGGAAAATATTTCAGTGACCTTCTTCATAAACGGTTAGCACGAATGTGATTGATAAACAGTATTAGAAAAATGAATTTCCAGCAATTTAAAACTTATTAACAACTTATAACATCAAACTAGTTTACTTGAAAAATCTGAATTCTGACTCTATTAAAAATTTGTTTTTAATACTATTATCTGTTGTTAACTGATATAAAATAGCTCTGTTTGCATGTTGTGTTTATGTTTCATATTTCTAGAATTTATTATTAACAGTTCAGGAAAAATTGCTGAGTTTGTAATATGTGTGAAGAAATACGTTGCATTAATATTCACATAATGTATATAAAAATTTATTGCTTTTTGTATTTCTGTGTTTTAACTAATTTCTATAATACATGTGAGTATAATTTCTCATACATTTTCCAAACACTTCGAAAAATATGAAACTAAAGAATGTCATTTATGTTAATTTATTTCAACAGTTACACACACGATGTCATTTAACCTTATGATTTATGCGCTGGAAAGAAGAGCAGTTTAAGCATTTTTCCTATACAGTGGAATATAAGAATTGTTCCGATAAAGTTCCGATATGCACAAATTCAAAATTCAAGTTGTTTTTCTAGAAGTAATTATTGTCTGATATATTTTCTAACAAATGATGCAAGTGTTAAATTTTCGAATTTTTTCCCCCGTTAAAAATAGTTTTAAATAATAATTTCATTGAATAACAATTTCATTGATGATATTGAACATCAGCAATTTAAAACTTACAATTTATTTTAACAAACTTGGAATCAATTTATCAGAAAAATGAATTTTTATATTTTGATAATTTGGTAGTTTCTTCCATGTATTTTTATTTTGTTTTTATATGTGTTATATTTATGTATCATTTTTCTGGTATTCATAATTAAAAGTTTAGAAGCTTAAGTACTTTTGCTTGGCTAAGAAACTAGTACAGAGCATTAAAATTAAAACTCGCATTGTGCATAAAATTTTGTAATTTTTTAAATTTCTGCGTATTTTAAACCTTTTAAGCGATGTGAAAAACAGAACTGCAGTACCATAAGTAACATTAAATCAATAATCATAAAATTGAAGTCAACAAAACTTAAAACTCCAAATTAACCGAGATATATTTTTACGAATCCTAGTGTGAAGATATATGCATTTTTGTGCTTGATATACAGTCTAGCTATTAAATTATATGAAAAACCTGCCTCGGACAATTTCTTTTCTAGTAAATTAAAAATCTAATTGGGACTTATTTATGTGAAATATATTAGTTTAAATGTCATCGAAATAAAATTTCTTAAAGAACTTCCAAGAGAATTTCGTGCAAAAATAAGATAAATATTTAAGCATTATTTTATCTTTAGCAACAGTTCTTAATAAAAAGCTTAAATTTCAGGTTGGTTTGGTTTATGTGATTACGGCAAAGCTTTGAGAGCTCTCTGCCTAAGGGGAGGGATGCCTTCGTGGAGGACTAAAAGAAACTGGTTTTTAAACACATGTAACATATGGGGAAACTACGAAAATGCCCATACAGCTAGCCTGTTTGTGGGATTCGAACCTCTTATCGAACTACCAGTATTCAGTGATTTTACCGCTCAGCCGCTGGTGGGCTGTGCTTAAATTTCAGGAATACATATTAATTTTCAGTATTTTTTCCGTAATTTGGAGCATAAGCTTTGAAAATAATTATATAAGAATTTAATGGTCTTTAATACAAATTAAACTTTTTTGCATAAAATTTAATGCTCAGAATATAGCTGGTGTGAAGGTAAATAAAAGTTAAAATTTTGTTTAAAAATGCAACTTAGTTCTTGTGTTTCTGTAGGCTATAAATATTTTTATTCAGATGTGAAGATCAATATTCATTAACTGAATTAAAAGCATGTACCACAATTAGGGAAAAAGCGAAATTTGTTATTTTCAGTATTTACTCATCTTTTATCCTTCGTAACCTACCGTATTATTAATTTTCTTATATCACATTTGTTTCACTACTTATTTAAATTTTATAATATATTTATTACTTATTTAATTAATTATTTATCTACTTATAATTTATTTAATAGCAATTAATAATGTTCTTTATATTTTATTTAACTTCAATTTCTAGTAATTTAGTGTTTTAATTATTATAATTTTTGTTCATACCAATTTTTATGCATTTTTACGATTTAACGTAGGACTCCGGCACTTCTGAATTTAAAAGTTAAGCCTCTCTCAAAAGACATGCAAAGCTGATAGCCTCCTCGAGCAGTTTGTGATAAAAGACCCTCAGACTGCCCCTGGGATATTCTCTTTCAAAACTGGGGCAGATACTTCACATCTAGCTGGCTTTGGCAGTACCTCAGTCCCATTTGGTGCTACAGAGGTGCTGGCCTAGCTTCAATCTGTGTAATTTTTGTTATGCATACAGCTTGGTAACTCACCTGCATCAAAAATACATAAACACAATATCACAACAGGTACCACATATGGCAAATGGTGCCTGTTAATAGAAAAGTAATAAAATGGGTACTTTTATTTTATGAGCTTTTGATTGTTGTCATGTTTAATTTTTACTTAAAGAAACCCAAACATTTTGATATTAATTGAAAACTTTTTATTTTAGCATAGAAAAAGTACCGAAAGTGACTTCTCCAGTTTTAGTCATTCATGGTACCAATGATGAAATCATCGATTTCTCACATGGTCAGGCTATTTATGAGCGCTGTCCTAGAGCTGTCGAACCATTGTGGGTGGAGGGTGCTGGCCACAATGACATTGAACTGTATGGACAATATGTCGAGAGACTTCGTAAATTCATCAATGAGGAACTTTCCAACTAGGACTGCATTAAATACTGTTATCTCCCAGCTGTCATCAGTATCACGAACAGCATATCAGGTTATCATGACAAAGTATGTACTGTTAAACGGAGATAAAAAAAAAGAGATATAGTCTTTTTTAATGTACATTTATTTTTCATTTTCTCTGTAAAACAGTACAAAGTCTGATGAAAATTTGAGCTGTGATTGTTTTATTCTGGTGTATTAAACACTTATATCAACTGTAATTAAGTTATGTGTAGCAAATGTGTTTTAAACAAGTTGTTGCACAATGGAGTAATTCTTGTATTTATCAATAGAAAATATAATATTGTAAAATCAAATAATTTTTATAGCTCATATTAATGAGTTATAATTTTTTAAGTAGTTTAATATTAATTTTTTTGTCTGTAATACATGATAGACATTATGGCAGAAAGATATTTTAAGCCTGTGAAGTCAGAAAAGATGTTAACCTTTAAACATGTGAACAAAATAATAAGCAATTAAACTGATTTTCAAATATTAATCACAATTAGTGGCCAAAATAACAAATAAATAAAAATGCTCTAGTGTTTAGAAGGCATATTTTAATTTATACCTTTTTGTAATTTTAATTGATGCATTTTTTAATCATTCGTTCTTATAACATTAATTTATATTCATTTATTTAAATGTGCTTGTAGGGGAAGAAATTGAATTTAGATGAATTAGGTTTTCAAACTTTTTCACGCTGGTTCCATAAGTTTATTTTGTACTTCTTGAATCCCATTTAATACAGTGTTACTGGGGGGGGGGGAGATTTTAATGTCATATTATTATTTAACTATTTTGATGATGGTATTAAAGTTGTTTAACTGAGAATATCTATTTGTACATCAACATAACATATTGAAATCAGAATATTTACAGCACTTCTTAAAATCATGATGTTTAAATTTAAAATTAACATGTAGTTACCACTATAGTCTTGTGGATTACCATTATTATGTTAATTTATAATGCTAAATAAATAAAATTTTCTTTCCTCCTAAAAAAAGTTTAAAAGGTTAATCTGTTCTGTCTATTTAATTTGATGGACTTAATGAAGCAGTGACAGTTTGTCATGGTCTGGGTTGAAGTTACTGAGTAACAGATTTAAATGGCCTTAAGAGTATTAAAAGAAATTTGAGAAACTCCAGTTGTTTCAACTTACTTGAAGTAATCAGATTTATAAAAAGACACATTTGGGTATAATAAAATCTGCTATTATTTTAGATTACAGTTTTGTCCATTGGTATGATAAAACAAGCATATTTGTTTACAAATTTGCTGCTTCTGACTTAATGTTGATAGTTTTTTTCCTCACTAGGGGTTGCTGCCTGTTGCAGAAGTTTATTGATTGTGTTTTATTTTTCTTATGAATATTTTCACATAAAATTTGACTTAAGTTTTGCTAACATGTAATTTGTAACATAGTATTGCTATTTTTTCTCCTTCTTCTGTAAGATAGTCAGTCGTATGGTGTGTATATTCTCTTTTTTTTTTTTTCATAGTTCACTTAGCCTCTAAAGATTAGCCCATCATTGCATCATAGCTTGACTATACGGAAAGCTTGGGAAATGTCAAATTCTGCATGTGTAAAAATTCTGGATACTTAACCATATAAAAAATTTAATTCACTTTAGAAAAGTCAAATGAGTAGGAAAAATTATAAAAGTCAATCATCGTTTTTACATCAAATGATCTACTTGAATATGAAAAGTATATAAGATTTAGTTAGGATGGAATTTCAGACATAAAAAGCTGATGTATTTTGCAGGTTTTAAACATAAAAGTGAAACACCTAACCCATTTATGAAATCCTGCCAAACATGAAAGTTGACAGAGATTTTCTGGCAGAAGTTTAAATAAACAGATTATTATTTAGTAAGTTAATAAATGTACACAAATTATAGACATAAAACAGAAAAAACTTAAATCGCGTATCGTAATTTTCCACGTTATGTTGCTACTTTTTATCCACTTTCATAGTTTTGCATCATGGCCTTCTTTTTTATGCCTAGAAACTTTGAAAATGCTCCGCAATGCTTTTTTTAAAATGCGAGAAAAAATTGAGCTTATATCCCTCCTTAGAAAAATGAAACATGTGTCATGATATTATATTTATCCATTATTGGTGCTAAAATTTGGTGACAATGTGTTCATGTTAGTAGTATTGTAAGCTCTCTAGTGACATTACAAATTTCCCAATTACTAAATTTTTAGGCTGAAATTTTTTTTTAAATTCTAAAATATTGTAGTTGCTTGAGCTTTCTGGTTAGTTAAATGCCAGGTAGTCATGCTTTTACTTTACTTCATATATTAGAAACCACTTATTTAAACAGATTAAATCTAATTGCTGTATAAATGAATCGCCAGATTCAGAAGTGTATCAATCCAAAATAGTCTGAAAGAAGTTCAGGTTCAATTGCTGATGCTTAAAAATCAAACATGCTGATTGTTTTTTAAAAGACAAAGTTGAGTTTTAGAAAAAAATCTTATATTCTGTCTAAATGTATGAAAACTAATAACGGCTGGCAGGAAAACAGTGAGAAACCTGTATATCAAACTTAAGTGCACATTATCTAATAGTTTATTTTAGTGCATAAATAACTTTCTGCCTATTATGAGGGGGAGAACTGAATCTTTTTTGTTGTATAAAAATGAATGACATCTCTAAATCTTTGGCAGTTTTATTGATAATATTCTTTCAAATATTTAAAGCAATTGCTAAGATTTAACACATTTTTTATACATTAAAAAAATATACTTTTTTAGATGTTCCTATATTTTGAATTATTAGTTCCTATATTGGTAATTATATATGCCATGTAATATGATTTACTTATTTCTCTAATTAGGTTGTGAATGTTTATTAAAATATATTTAAGTAATATTTTAATGTTTTATGCTGAAGAATAAGTGTAATGGAGAATTAAATTACTATAGATTAAGTTATTGTAATTTTTATCAAATTCTAGATGATTGCAAAGTACTTAAATAGGCTGCAGAATGAAATTGTATCTATCATTATTTGCAATAACATAATGAGCTTCAGTATTGTATACATCATGCCATTTTTAATGAAGTATTCTTTATATATTTAAAAGTTCTTATGAAGCATGAGAATTTATTTCTCAGCATAATAGTATGATTTTTTTAAAAATTTTAGTATGAAATATTTTATGTTTTATCACATACTTTTCATTTATATTACAAAATCACTGTCAAATATAATAAATTCATTTCTTTGAAATGAGTCATGATTGAAATGAATTCATGATTGGAATTTAATATCAATGATTTAAAAAACACAACAATGGCTAATTAATTGTGGTTGAAAAATCAAATTAGTTCAAACAAGATATAATTTATTCCCTATTTTTTATTATGTTTGTAATTGATTTTGCCTTTTTCTAATAAATATCGTTGCGATTTCGGAACCTTAAATTACAAAACATTTGCATACCAAAGTGATATTTTGTACTGATAAGCAGTTGGAAATGTACTTATTTTTTAGAGAATTCTGCTTATTAATCAATGAAAGATGGATTTTGTTTCTTATTGTGCAAGAATCTGAAAAAAATAATTTGAATGTTAATGAATTTTTCTGCATTATTTTATCAGGAGCTAAGATGATATAAACATTTAAATAAACGTTTTTACAAACTATTTAATTGAGATAAGCATTATCATTTATATGTATACTGATGTAGTTAGAATTGCATTTCATGAGTTGTCATTTTGAACTTGTAGATGTAACATCCACTTCTTTATTTATAATTACTTCCCACAGCTTTACAGTATAAAACTTAGACCTGTGTTGTAATTGAATACGTTCTTGTTGATCATGTATTATCTATTAATGATCTTCAAATATTATTTAACAAGGTGTGAGAATTCTATAAAAATTACTGGTGCTTACTTATTATCCTGTCAACCGTGAAAATTGGCTACCATCAAACCATGACAGCTAGCGAAGATTCCAGGAAAGTTAGACGAGTTACTTTTGAAAATTCCTCAGCCACACTTCTGTCCTCAACTGTTACAGTTCTACATTTGTCAGGCTCTGTATAATCTGCCACTGAACCACTGCTGCAGAAGTGTTTGATCATTTTCATTTTTGCACTTTGGAAAAAGGCTTTCATGGGTTTCTACTATTTTACTGGAAGTGGTGTTAAGAATGTGATGAATACAAATTTCTGCAGGTGATTGTTCCAATATATTGCCTTTTTTATACAGCAGTTATGTTTCACATTCAATAGGTTGTGAATGTTAATTATCTCCATCTGTAAATGAACCTAAGTGCAACACAAATGGGATTCTACAGCCCTCGATCTAACTTTTTTGTACTAAATGAAAAAAAAAAAAAAAAAAAATTGCTGCAGTGATAAGTAATTTATATCCTTGCTCATAAAAAAGAAAGATGGCTACTTATCAAGAATCAACCAACTGATTCAGTTAAGTTCAGATGCTGATGTCACGCTTATCCATAATTGGCACTAAATCCTACTGCTTGGTGAAATTTTCTTGAGTGATGGATAATACGTAACTGTCATGACTTTTTTATTTGATATGTTATGAAAATTCCATAAAAATTATTTCTGCCATTTTTAAATATAAATAGAAATACTGCTGTTCTGTATATGTATTGGAATGGGAGAGTACTATATTTATGTAATTTATTATTTGTACATGTTTGAATTATTTGCTGAAGATTATTTTTTAGTTTTGATTTTTAATTTTAATTTCATTCATAAATGCAATTTTTGTATATAAATATATGTATATGAGTACGTGAGAAATCCTAATGATGCTTTGAATTCTTTAGTGTATGTAGTTGTCAATTAAATTTTTATAATTTTCTGATGGGGCGAAATAAGGTAATTATGAATAAGAATTATTTTGCCAAACTGAATATGCATGAAAAGGCTAATTAATGAATACAAATTATTGCAGAACGTGAATGTGCATGAGCATTTTTTATTTCAATTTATTTTTAGCGTGCTTAAATATTCTGTATCATTATTTACCTGCATTTTCAGTTTCTTATTTTTGACTTTGTTTTTAAAAGTTATGCTTTTGAAGATTTTAAAATGAAATGCCCTTGGCTCCAAAATGTATACTGATTACAAATGCACTTAATTTTCTTCAAATATTATTAAAGGAGTTAATACTGTAATAATTACATGGTTACTTCAAGGAGTTAATACTGTAATAATTACATGGTTACTTCATGTCATAAATAAGGAGATATTTTTTGAGAAAAAGTTATGTATACAATTTGTCATCTTATGCTAATTTTATTCAAAATTTAAATTGCTGGAACTTAATAAACTTTAATTCTCTTTTTCTTAGTCTAAAGCATCTTTGAGAATTATGAATTTTTTTTTTCTTCTAAATTTTCTGTTTTCAGTTTTCAGTTCTAGTATAAGTATTTGATCAAGGAGATCAGAAAAATTTTTATCTTCATAAAGTTGAATTATTAATTTTTCTAAAATGGGAGTGGCATTAGTTAATTTCTAATGCAATGATTGCAGAATACGTTACATTAGAAATTAAATTAATACCACTATTTAGTTAATTAGAAATATTAGTCAATTTCTGATAATTAACTGCTTGAGTTATGTGGAATAAGACCAGTTCCAATATTTTATGTATTTCAAATTATGAGAAATGTGTAAAGGAATTATATAAAGTGTACGTAAATGTTAGCTTTACAAACTTCACATTAAGAAATATGTCATTGATTTTATGTAAATGCTGAATTGCTTATGTTAGTTTATGACCAATGAAAACACAAAAGGAATTTTGTAGACATTTAAAGAGAAAATTCTGAGAAAATTTTATTTTAAATTGTAAAGTATTATGAACATAATTGTAGCCTTTTTGTTTTGTTAATGCCCTTGAATTTCTAATTCTAGTATCATATTGAGATAAGTGCTATTTACTGGTGATCTGTAGACCTAGAGAAATTGCGATATGAATATATTGATATATTACATTTTTTATTGTAAATACTAATTATTCTATTTTTAAATTTCTAACTGCTTCCTATTTGTCTATATTTTAAAAGCAGGATTGCAGTAGATTATCATATCTTTTAGAGTAGGTGCCGCTTAATGTGATCACGTTTGTCCATGGCTATTTTGATAACAATAACCAAATGATAGCATTAGAGAATGAGAAAGAATATCCTTAGCAACAAAAGAATTTCATTTAATTCAAGAACAAGAAACACATAAATAAGTACTTTCACAGAATTTTAACTGGTAATTCTGCAGAATTTTTTTGTTCCTGAAGAAAAGAGACTTGTGTCTGATCACCTTTCAAAACTGATAAGAGTTATTCAAAATCTAAGACAAACTAAGGCTGTTTTTTTGCCTAATTTTCTAAGCCAAACTAAGACTGCTGTTATGCCTAATTTTAAATAATTTACTAAAATAATAATAAAAAAAAATGTTGTATGGCGATATAATCCCATACTTGGCGATATTTTTCTTACATTTTTTTTTTTTTTATATAATCTTTTTTGACTTTACTTTGTGACTTTACCTCAGTAAACATACTGTCTCCAATAGTATTAACCGAACTGTTGATCATAATAAGCGATGTAGTATTTATTTTTCTTGCTTTTGTATACAAACAGGCAGAATTTCGGCCATTCGATAACAATATCCTAATAACATTAACCGCGACTACATTAAGCAGCGTCTACTGTATGTTTTTGTAAAACTAATGATTGCAGGGGAAAGAAAAATGCTTTTATGCATAAATGTTTTTGCTTTAAAAAGGGAAGAGTTGTTTAAAAGTACTGTTTTTGTATTCAATTTAAGTGATGTAATAGCAAATATGAATAGAAGTGATACTTCCGTAAATGGCCTTCTTTTTTACGATGGAAACTAGAGTCAACAGTGTTTAATAATGGAGGCTTTGGGTGTATCTAAATTTAGAGTTAATGGTACTTACGTATTATTCCATTGGCTGTGAAAGTTGGTGGAAATCTCGCCAAAGTTGCACCAGCCTTTCATGCGGAATTTTGAGCCGGACTTCTATTTGCAAGTCTTAACAATAAAACGTCGTCAGTCTACCTGTACAATCCACGAAGTAGCCCCTACTCTAGAAGTATTTGACCCACTTCGTAAAAAAACTTTTCGTTGATGTCTATTTTCTTAGGGCGTCCGATTTTAACTCAAGCTGTGTTTAGAAATGCTGTAAATATAAACTACATGCAAGTGATTATCGTCCTTATCTGTCTGTACCTTCAACAGATTTTAATTCCTTTAGCTAGCTGTAAATGAACTGGAATTTGGTGATTTTACAATTATGTCTCATTTCAGGTTTTCGCAGTTGAGGCTTTTTTAAAAATCGTGCTATTTCAGCCTCTCTTGATAGGATAGGTAAGAACTATTCCCATTTCACCTTTTAATTCAATGTCGGTGTAAAATCCGAAAGCGTGATAACGTGACTGTATGTTTACACTTTATACGTATTTCACATTCATATGAAAGCATGATTGTAACATAACTTTGCAATGATGTTTCATTGTATCTTAATTATGTTTCAGCCTTTAAATTTAGTTTAGGCAGGGCTAGATAAACTTTTAGTAACAGTGGTGATTACAGCTAATACATAAAACAAGATGTTCTTAAAAGTTGATGACATTTTAGTATTATTATTATCTTAAAATAGGATCATGTCGACTACTGGTTGGACGAATCGAAGAATAATCGCGGCTACCATATTTGAGACTTGAAACTGAAACATTGAAAGAGAAAAATGGCAAAAATTTGAGGATTTGGCTGCTATATTAAAAATAAAAAAAATTCTGTAAAAGTCGTCAATAATACTGCTATCATAGTTTTAAATCAAATAAATTTCTTATTTTACTGATTTTTAAGAATGTGACTTTCGTCATAAAATATTAAGCCATATGTAGAAAAAGTATGTTTTTTACAATCATTTGTGATCAGAGTTACTGCATTTTATTAAAGCAAAGAATATGTCCTCTTTTCCGGCTGAAATAATAATTCCTTATGCACATTAAGAAGCCATGTTTTTTCAGTTTTCTTTGTTTTGCTCACAATTTATTCCGCAATAACTTAAAATGCGCGAATTGTCCCCCCTCCTCGAACGTCTTTGCATCAGCTATAATGAAAGGTTAAAAATAGGAAGAGATATGAATTTTGATTTTCTCATCCAGAACAACTGCACAAATGGAAACAGGCTGAAATAGCATGATTTTTGTTGCCACCTCCGGAAAACCCATGGTTTTTTTTTTTTTTTTTTGTTCAAATTGCAAGAAAAATACAACAATGACATTTAATTTGTAGCTTTGTTCATTAAAACAAAAGATGGCTTATCGAGGTTGCATCAAACGAAAGCGCAGATGTTCTGAGTGTGTTGTGACATTACGCTTATCCATAACTGGTACTAAATTGCATTGCTTGGCGATAGTTTCACTGTCAACGGGTAATACGTAAGTACGGAGTTATTTCCTCCATATATTACCTATTTTAAGTCTCATAAAATGAGAAATGTTCTTCCTTTATATAATTGTAAAAAGGATAACTGTGTGTTGTAATTTAATGTGGATAAAATTTTAATAGCTTGTGTGTTATATATTGATTTTGGAAAAAAAACAAATTCTAGTGGTATTATGAGTGTGTTTTGTACCAGCTGAAATAGATGTCTTCTTTAATTTTATTTTGTTTTTGAAGCAAAATTTTTTGTGGGATCAAATGAAAATATTTGCTTTTGTAGATTTTTTTTAAGCAAGGTATTTTACTGCATAAATTTTGTGTCTTTATTATATTTCTTTTTTTGTACTTAAATTGTGGTGATATTTATTCATATGATTTGCATTTTGGATTTCATTAAAATCATTAGGAAACGTAGTATTTTAATGCTTTTTTAAGATTTAGAACTATTGAGGTAGTTTATTTTGTACAAATAATTTTAATTTTTAAGTACATTTCATTCCTTAGTTTTATTATTCCTCTTATTATTAAGGAAAATAAATTCAAACTTAATGCATAATTGTAAGCTAATCTTACATTTTAATTTTGGAGTGAAATAAGTGGCAGTCAAATGAGTTTTATTTTATTCAATTTTTCTGCCATCTGTTGGTAGCCATTGGCAGAATCTTCTTAACGCATGGGTCCGCTAGACATTTGCCTGGGGCTCTAATGCGGTAAGACTGCATTTGCCACTGGGTACCCACAGAGTTCAATTGGAATTTCTAGATCAGTGATTCCCAACATTTTTCTTGCATCCACCCCTCTTAAAGGAATGGCTTTTTATATCAACCACTTCACATTTCTCTCTGTTGATATACAGTATACAATATAATCATAATGCAAATAACTATACATAAATAATTGAAGATAAGAATTAGATTAAGAATATGAATAAAAGTTTTGTAAAAATGGTTTATTAGATTTTTATTTAATTATTTTTTCTATCTTTATTAATTTTATAGCTATAAACAAGTTTCAGAAGCAAAATCATACATTCTAATTGCAGAAGAACTCGATTTTAAGGAATGCGATAGTGGCCCTTTGATGTATTGATGCAATTTTAAAAGTATTTGCCATAAAATTGCTCTTATTTCTTAAATTGCCTCGTTGAACAATTTTTATTCAATCTGTTTCTTGTTTTCTTCAAGAATTATTGACTTCACTAAAGCGTGCTTCAACTAAATAAGAAAAGACAAAAGTCAATAATATTTGGTAACAACTTTTATTATGAGATATTTCACTCGAATGACTTTTAAATTTCAAAACTTAGCATACACGTGTGTTTTGAAAAAGACTTGAGCTCGAACATCCTCTTTCAGTACAATCACATCTTCTTGCATTATAACATCAATAGAAAATTCAGCAGTTCTGTGAGCCATGCTGGCACATTTAAATTTTCGGTGTCGTAGAAGAGAACATTGAGATCTTTCAAATTTTGCATGCTGTTTCTGATATAAAAATATATCTTCTGAAGTTTTGTGGTCTTTCTTTCTTTCTTCTTTTTAGCCCAAGGGGCATTAGCCCAGAAAGGCTATTAATTTATGTTTTGCATTTTGCGTTGATTCACTATAAAAGGTGAATCACTTCTTAAATTGTTGCCACCAAATATTAAAGAAATTAAATAATGAAAAATCTGCATAAATGTAGGCATGTTTCTCGTATTGTGATAAAACAATGGTACCTAGAGCCATCAAGTTTTGAATAATGTATGTCACCACCCAAATATGGGAATCTGGAACCTGGAATTTCTTTTGTTATCTATTTCTTATTTTGTAAAGCATTTTTGAGTTTTTGATTAAGAAACTCAACGATTTCAAAGCGAGCAATGGCAACATTGTACGGGGGGGGGACATTTTTATTTCCAGCACGCAAGATTTGTGTATTGGAAATTCTAAAGATATGCTCTTTTAAATATTTTGTGATATTGCTGTTGAATTGAATTTTATGGTTTAAGTGCAAAGAACATGATATTTAATAAAGAAAGTTAACACAAAACGTGAAAAATGCGCCTTTGGACGTAATATAAAGTTTGAAAGCTTTCAGATTTTTTTGGTTGTTGTTATTGTGGTTTCTCGTATTCCTGAGTTTTACTTTTTTAAATTGTACTCTTCACAAGATTTATATATTTTTAAAAAGAACTATCACTTTTAAAAATAAATTTAGTTTTTTTGTGTATTTCCTCTTATATTTATTTTATATGATTTCTTCTTTGTTATATGATAAAGCTCGGTGGTCTTCAAACTTCGTTGACTCGTGGAACTCTTGGTGCTTTTTATGGGGAAGCCCACACCACTCTTAGAAAAATACTCTTTAAAAGAATGTTCAAAATAGATCAATATGTTGTAGGGTCCTTATGTAAAGACTATTTAAGAAAAGTACTTTTTATCATAAAATTAATATAATTTATTCCTTAACCGTTTGATCTTGGCGAAGCACTATCACGCTTCACTTCTCGTATGCCAAAAATACGGCACAGCGCGATGGCGCTTCTCTTGTTTTGTATTGAGAATGCGAAGACGCTGCTGTTGGTTAGTATACTTTACGCAATTATTGAGAGCAGTTGTAGTGATATCAGTAGCAGTTGTTTTATAGGAATTGGAAATTGTTTTAATTTTTTATTAAGTGTTATACCGATAATTACGAAATAACCCATGTCAAGTTGTGATTCATTTGAAAGTGACTATGTTATGAGAAGTGATAATGAAGAGTATAGTAATGACCGTGAAAGTGATAGTGGAAGTGACATCATCATTCGTTCTAAGAGATTACGAGTTATTAGCGATAGCAGTGATGATGATGAAGTAACTGCAAGTACCTTCGATGACGATATTATTGATGAGTATGTGAAACCAACTGAATATTTCAATAATTTTTTCAATTTTCAATAATTTTTTTCAAGTGAACTAACCAACAGCAGCATCTTCGCATTCTCGATACAAAACAAGAGAAGTGCTGTCGCGCTGCGCCGTATTTTTGGCATGCGACAAGTGAAGCGCGCACCGGACTTAAACAGTTAATAGCCTTAACTCGTGCTCCAAGTCTTACCTGTCCGTGCATTATATTTAGTGACTGCGGTGTGCTTGCATCTTCTTTTACACAAACTATGGAAGTCTACCTCTATTGATGTTATCTGCAGTCGCATTTCGAATTCTGCATTTAATTTGTTTCTATAATTTGCCTTTATTGCCTATATACGTTGCTCTGAATGGCATTAAAATGTTTATAGCTGTGTGAGAAACTGCTGGGTATTCTACAAGAATCTGCGACCAAGAATGTCACTGCTGACTCTCCTGTTATGGGTAATGCCAGCTCACATTCCTAAACTTCTGATTAATTTTTAAAGGTAACTAAATGTCTCTTTGTATTTTTTAGCTAATAAGCATTTAGTCTACTAGTTTTGCTTTTTTTGTAATTTTCTTTTTTTTAGTTTGACTCTGAGAACACTGAGGTTTGATTCGTGGAACCCGGGGACGCATTTTGAAAACCATTAATATAGCTTTATATCAATAAACAATTAATTATCAGTTTTACAATATTAATATTTCTTCTTTTGTACTCAATGGGATCTTCATCATTGCTTGTGCATATATACCTATCGAACCTTTTATCATCCTTAACCCCTTTTAAAATTTCATTGACCCTCAAGAAGGTCAACACCGTCTGTGTTGGGAACCCCTGGTCTAGATTAACAGCAGTGTAAAACTTTTTAAGCAAAACTCAGTAAGATAATAACTAAATTTCATTTACTGTTTAGTATTTTATAAAATTTAGAAATTGTTTTAAACACGTTAGCCATACTTCAGTTTTAAAGCTACAGTATAAATTTATTTAAGTTAGTAGGTGCTGAAGGAGGGAAACCTTCATATCATGATTTAGGTCTTGTTTCTTATTATACAATGCACTGGTTCCTAATACTGTTAAGAACTTCTTGCTGTCCTATAGAACTTTAAGGATTCAAAAATGTATTGAATAAAATTGATCATTTGTTAAAAAAATATGTAAATGTTGATTTTTGAGGTATTTCTTGACAAATATTTTGAAAATTCTGACAGGTGGAATCGATTTGCTTATACTTTAAGCACAAGAAGAAGCTTGTGTTTGGTGTAGATTTAAAAATGTTTATTGATTTCAATGGCAAACAAGCACAAGTCCATCTTCATCAGACGCAAAAAAATTCTGCAAAGATGATTTTCGATGCTTGCGTATTTATTCAGTAGCTCTACTACATCTGTAGTACTTTTCTGTAACCTCGGTATCTCTGCTTTGGGCCTTGTGAGGGTTTTTTTTTATGAAGTACATCTCAGAACACGCAACCTCAGATCGAGAACTATTTAAGGACATTATCCTCCTGTTATTCGCTTACAGCGGCCAAGCGGTAAAGTCGCTGAACACTGGTAGCTCGGTTCGAGGTTCGAATCCTGCGAATCGGCTGGCTGCATGGGCGTTTTCGTAGTTTTCCCCATGTGTAACGTGTACACGAGCCCAGTTTCCCTTAGAAAGTCCTCCATGAAGGCATCCCCTCCCCTTAGGCAGATAGCCCTAGTGTGCTTTGCCATAATTAAATTCACCACACAACACCATACCACCAAAATTCGAAAAATATATTTATTTAAATTTACGAGTATTAGTGCTTTTTTGTAAATTAAACAAAAAAAGGATAGAAAATATTGATACATGCTAAAACTAGAATAAAAATAGTTTTTTATATTCATACACTGAAACTAAATCCTTAACAGTTAAATAAAAGGCTGACGGCATTCCTTCCCTGAAACTATAAAATCGCTGAACCCCCCTCTCCTGGGGCTGAGAAATCTTGGTTTAAAGTTTAACTTAAAAGTGAGATTTTTAATGCCAAATAAGGAGTATAGTAAATATTCAATCACAGTCACTCTGCGCAAAGTTCAATAGTAAATAACAGTAATTCCTGTAAAAGCTGAATGTGCAGTGCAATAAAATAGAATAGTGTATACAATGCCGAGAAAAATTTGAAAATGCACTATTTTTCAGAGATTATTTCGCTTAGTTATCTATGATCTTGTAATTAAGTTACCAGTCAGGAGGTGGATGCATGGTACTCCGATTCAAAGTACCATGCGTCCATCTTCTAGAAATATATGTACAGAAGAAAAATAGCCCTGGCAGGATAATGCAAAGAAGGGAAGAGCCACGGCCATATTCACACCCAAAAGAAGGGTAGAGCAAAGCGAAATCATGCGTAGTGCTATCTGTCTAAGGAAACAGTAAAGAAACATGGAAAATTAAGATATTTAAATTTAAAAAAACATTAGGAGAACTGGATTGGAATTAGTGTCATTGACTTAGATTGAAATTAATATCATTAATTAAAAAACGAAGATAAATGTTTGTGTTTTTATTTTTGGTATGAAATATGGTCGTAGCTCCTTTCTTTGCAGAATTCTTTCGCTGCTGACAAATAGGGAACTGTGCCTATCCGTCCTCGAAACCTATAGAAACTCATTTTAATTTACGCCAAACACAAGCTTAGTCTGTTGCTTAATTTTAAGTTTTACTTTGGTGTATTCTTGATGACTTTTTTTTTTTTTTTTTTTTTTTTTTTTGTTTGTTTGTTTGTTTGTTCAGTTGTTACAAATTAACTTTGTTTCTGGTTTATTAATTTCTTTTTACAGAGTAATAATAACTATTAGAATAGCTTATTTTGTGTGAAAAAAATTAAGGTATTTTGTGAAAAATTGAGCTTTTATTGTGGTATAACAGTAATTCGTCTTTCATAGGGTTTACATTCTATATAATTCATTATTATACAAATGCTTGGTTTTTTTTAATCAAATTTTTTATTTTTTTTTGGTGCTTAGTTTATTTCTTTTATTTATGCAATTTTAAAATTTGCAAAATTCCTTTACTCTCAAAGGAACTAATTTATGTAGTCATTA